GAACAGATGAAGAAGAGGGAGAAAAACAGGAAAGAAAAGCAATGGCTAAGCAGCCAAATGTTCACCCATGAAAAGAAAGAACGGTGCCTAATTGAATATTCCCAGTTTTGACAGCCATCCAGCAGCAGCAGTAACAGATGCCGCAGCAGCCCAGCTCCCTCCAGCTGGATTGAAACAGACAAACCGGAGAAGGCCTGTGGGAGCTGCTCCCCGGGGATGGACTTCTGCCAACCTGGTGGGGTAAGATGTGGGCTGGCTTTATTTATTTTCACCTTTAGAAAAATCACCTTTGAAATGGGGCCTCAGCTCTCTCCAGCCCCAGGCAGTTGGATGGGCAGCCAACATCTCTGACACCATGTGGAATCACTAAGAGACATACAAGTTTAAGATGACAAGAACATGGGCTACACACTGTTTTATAGCCACTAAGGCAACAAGCAATGTGTTGTGATTTTATATGTATACTAGAGGCCCAGTGCATGAAATTCGTGCACTCAGGGGGTCCCTCAGCCCAGCCTGTGCCCTCTCACAGTCTGGGAGCCCTCGGGGGATGTCAGACATCCTTAGCACTGCCGAAGAGGTCAGAGAGGCTCCCACCACCAACGCTGCACTCGCCAGCCATGAGCCCAGCTTCTGGCTGAGCAGCGCTTCCCCTGTGGGAGTTCACTGACCACCAGGGGCAGCTCCTGCATTGAGTGTCTGCCCCCTGGTAGTCAGTGCACATCATAGCGACCAGTTGTTCTGCCATTTGGTCAATTTGCATATTAGCCTTTTATTACATAGGATAAAATATAATATATATATGAATATATATGACTATATATAATATATAAATATATAATACATAAACATATAAATACATAAAAATATAAGTATACATAATAAAAGTATATACATAAGTATACATACATATAAATATACATCCAAAAACTTGACTGTAAGAGGAATACAACTAACTCAGAAACAGATCAGGAAAGCAATTGTTGCTTTCCTCAAGGAGATACTCAAATGCCCATGAACTTTTCATTGTATTTGGTTCTCAAACTTCTATTGCACAGAAAAAAAGAGCATGGCCCAGGAGCAAGAGCACTCAGGGAGGGGGAAAGGGATGTAAGGTCTGGTTTCTTGTCCTCCATCTGCTGGTGGCCCCTGGTCAAGTCACCTAACCTCCCTGAACATCACTTCCTCAGCCATTAAGTGATAGAGTTGGATGAATGGGTTAAATCAACATTTCCCAAATAGTGCTTTCTCAAGGTTTTCGAGGGCCTTGCTACTCAAAGAATGGCCAACAGACCAACTGGCAGGGTCAGCATCATCCAGGAACTCTCAGAAATAAAAAAATCTGTGACTTTGGACTGGACTTACTGCATCATTTTAATTGAGTCATCTGTACTTTAATAGGATTGCAGTTTATCTACGTCAGGGGTTCTCAAACTTTTTAAACAGGGGGCCAGTTCACTGTCCCTCAGACCGCTGGAGGGCCGGACTATAGTTTAAAAAAAAAACTATGAACAAATTCCTATGCACACTGCACATATCTTATTTTGAAGTAAAAAAACAAAACGGGAACAAATACAATATTTGTATTTGCATGTGGCCTGCGGGCCGTAGTTTGAGGACCCCTGATCTATGTGCATGTTAAACACTTTTAAACACTGTTCCTGCATCCAAAGCAGCCTGCTCATAGAATCACGTGGATAACTTCATACAAACACAACTTCCCTGGAACTCCCTCCAGAGTCTGACCCAACAGGTCTGTGGTAGAAGCCAGAAATCTGCATATCTCACTAATTCGCCAGGTTGGTCCTTGTCAATGAAAGTGTAAGTTATATAAATAAATAAAATAATTGTCTTTATATTGTTTCCCTTTAAAATAGAAGGATCTCAAAGGGAAATCATGCCACTGAGCTTCCTGGTGTTTTTGCAGAGATGAGCTAACCATTTCATGTCCAGACACTCTAGTCAACACATCCCTCAGCTGAATGTCCCAGACGCCATGCAGGTAGTGCTCATGGTGGTTTTGAAATTGTTAAATTCTTAATGGATCATTGGTTAAATGTTGGAAATGACAGTAGCTCTGTTGTTGAACTACAATAATTTCATGAATAATATAAAAATGACACAAATTTTGCAAAGTCCCCTCAAGACAACTGTCATCAGATTCATAAGCTACATTAATCTATCAAAATCCTTATTTAGCACATTAAAATGTCTTTAGTACTTTAAAAACCAATCTTAAAAAAAACATAGTGACAATTATGTCCAATTTGGTTTTTCATTTATTGGAAATAAAAACTCTTCTCAGTGCAATGTGTTGTTTGCTGGGAAGTGCTTGCAAATAACAGCCAGAAATCTCTTATTTCAACAAAACATGAAAGTTATAAAAAATGTGTTTTTTCTTTTTTTGTGTGTGTATGTGTTTTCTCCTACAAGTAAATCAAAAGAATTCCAAGCCGGGTTCTAAAGGCAGTTTTTCCCCCTCTACTTCTGATGTCATTAAACATAGTTAAATTCCAATTTGCATTTTAATGTACAGTGGTCCCCAAGTCAGAAGCAATATTTAATGACAAATCAAGTCCTGACTTGCATAATTTTAAATAAATTCAAGAATATGCCACTAGTGACATATGAAGAAATTAAAAATATGTTGTAAATAGTATTAGAGATTATATTAATTACATAATATAGGCTTTATTGATATTGCGTTTATAACTTGAAACTCCTATCTTTACTATGTTCATATAAACATATAAACAAGAATGACAAAATGAGTTTTGTTTAATCCCTGAAGAGATTTATGATATTATTAACCCAATGGTATCAGGTGACTCTAAAAAATGTCAGAGGTGAGAAAAAAGTGTTTTCCATTTCAAACACTCTTTGATCCTATCATACTTGGGAGAGCTAGATAGCTACTACTGGCCTAGAATGGGTTTTTGGAATCCATATAGCCATAATCTGCAGAAAAAAAATTGATTAAGGCACTAAAATTTTAATTCTGTTTTATTAGTTTCAGTAAGTATTTATGCACCTACTGGTGACTGATGCTGGTGCTAGAGAGGATGAAATACATCACAAAATAATAGCTAGTGATTGATAAGGGCTAACTCTGTGTCAGGTAGAGTTTTAAAACACTTACAGTTATCAATATGCCTAACTCTTCCAATAAATCTACCAATAGGCACACTTTTGCCATTGAAGACATTAAGACACAGAGAGATAAATAAATCATCCATCATCACAAAACTCAAGTCATGGAACTAGAACTGGAAACTGACAAGACTCAAGTGTCTGGGTTCTTCACTACCCGGATAATGTGTGACACTGGAAACTGCAGGGGCAAGGGCACATGTCAGCCAGGAGAGGGGGTGCACAGAACAGCAAAGGGCACACACTTGAAGGTTATGGGAAATTAGTAAATGTGGGTCCGAGCCATCCACTGCCAAGCTTTGTAAGCCAGGGGAAAACCTTGGAGGTTTCTTGCAGGAACGTGCCAATCAGGAATTAAGTGAGCAAGTATGGAGGTGAGAGAGACAAAGTACATAGATTAAGGAAATGCTACTGTTAGTAACACATAGAATGTGTCACGTGGGCCCCAGAGAAGTAGAGGAAGACACAAAGGGGGAAAAGTGACGTTGAGAAGAAGGGGTTTGATGGAACCCATGTTGAAATCCCCTATACTGTATCGCCTCTCCTGTCTTCAGACAGAGCCCAGAGGGTAATCTGCTTCCCCCTGACGAGGGTCAAATCCCCCGGCTAGCCTGGATGAGACCATGCAGGGGATTCTGAGCTAGATGTGTTCAGGGAGAGTAAAATCAAACATAGTCCCTTCCTCAGCTGACCTGTGACTTTAAAGTCATGAAGTATTTGTTGGCTAACATTAACTAAATAAGTATAGGAAAAAGGTTTCCTATGGCTCTTACGTCAAGAGTGCGGTTAACAAGATGACCTCTTCTCCTTGGCTTCCTGGGGCCCAGTTGACGCTCAGGAGAGGGACCCCCAAGTTGCCAGTACAGTGAAGAGGAAATGCACATTTTGAGAGGGAGATTTCATTTCCCAAGAAGCATGCATGTCTCTGCAAATAGCAATTCACTCCTATTCTTAATCCCTAAACCATCGACAACCGCTATGAAGAATTCCTTGAGTCCTCAAATAAATCCCCCCGTCCGATATTCTTCACAACACTCTCAAAAAGCAGCATTGGAATAAAACAACAAGAAGTGTCTCTGCTCTCTGCCTCTCAATTTCTTTCTTGAGGGGCTTTTACACTCCAGAGCACACAAAGGAGGTTTTATGGGGACACATGGGGGTAGGTGAGATAAAGACACTGTAAAGGAGGAGAAAGGAAGTTTGTGTATTTCTCAATAGGTTTGAGATAAAGAAAACACTGATGCTGAAACATGATAAAGAAATCTTGGACTCTCTTGAAAAGCAATTTTCATTCTTTCTTTTTTTTTTTTTTTGTTCCAAGTGTCTATTTTTTTAAGCCTTACTTGGGGCAAAGAAATGCAGTTTTAAAACCCATTTTCATGTTTTAAGATTCAGGGGAAAGAGGTTTAACAGCAGGCTATAAAAATCCTTTACTCTTTAATGTCTTATTTTTGCAGATTTGCTGGGAAGTACGGTAAACAGTCATTGCTCAACTCTTCCCAGCAATGCCCCTTGAACGTCGCCATTGATGGTGAACAGCAGAATCCATTTGCATGGGTTTCTTTCTCCTGAGACCTGTTCCTTCCTGGCATTGTTGAGACACCTGCACTCTGTCAATCTCGGCAGCATCCTTAGCCAAAACGTTTTGCTGGTTATACTCCAGAGGAGATTATCAAACACTCACTGGACAACTTTAGAGGAGTAATTTAGTAGAGATAGAGACAATTCTGACAGTGTTCTACTGTCTGCTAATGCATATTCTGCAGAAGCACCTGGCATGCCCAACCCCTCTTCAACCCTTTAAGTCTTGTCTGTGTTCCCCCAGGACAAGGAAGTCACCCAGTACTCACAGGCTATGCGCACAGAGGCCTTCCTGCTCTTGGAGGTCCCCAGGTGGCTCCAGGCCACACACTGGCACCAATAGTCTTCTGGCCCGTGGAAGTCCTCCACCTGCTGCCTGGTGACGTTGATAAACACCTCCCGGACCTTCAAGCCTGATGGGGAGACAGAGCAAATCCACTGAGGCTGCTGTATTTCTCAAATAGAACGTTAGGGCTAGCCAAACCTTCCCTTGTTAATTAAACCATCCTGTTTTTAATCAAGGAGCGGTTTTAATTACTCTGACAATAATATATCACTGCTAATTAAATCCCAACAGTTGAGTAGGCTGGAAAGAAGGAGTGTAAAATATCACCGACCAATGAGGCTCCAAAACAATATCATAGTTTTTGTAGTGTTTTGTTTTTTTGTTTGTTTGTTTGCTTTTTTGTTTGTTTTTTTACCTTCCCGTAGTGTTTTGTTTTTTTGTTTGTTTGCTTTTTTGTTTGTTTTTTTACCTTCCTTGGTTTAAAATCAAGTATGAGAAATGTAGTACCAAATTAGGTGCTGGGATTCTAGAAGCTAAAGAGGCCTCAACATGCCAACCCTAGTGACAGAGTTCCAGGTGGTTCTAAATGCCCCACCCCTGAGTATGGCCGTGGGGACAGGGTCCCTCTAGCAGTGTGGATTAGAGGAGACAGCAAACATGCACGGGATGGGTCCAAGGAGGGGCTAGCAAGTGTGAGGCAGACCAGTGGAACTACGCTAGTCTGCAGGCCCTGAGAGGAGGACTGAGGAAGGCCTTTGGACCCATGGCATGAGGAGATGAAAAAAAGAGAGGGTTTTGTAGAAAGAGGGGCTAAGGGTACATTTGTAAAATGAGATAAAAGGAAGACCTTGACTTTTAAATATTGTTGCTGCTGTTAGTATCAGCATCACTATTATCATTATAATCATCATAAATACTTTGCATTCTCCTTCTAATAGTTAGAAAGTCTGCTAGGTGCTTCCTACTGGGAGTGGGAGTTTCTTCCAAACCTCTGACCTAGGACTACCAGCCTTTCTTCCTTGGGAAGGACGGTCACCTTGAATAGAATGCCAGGAATGAAAGGGCACACCCCTCACTAGCCAGTAGTTAAATCATCACAAGCAGGGTCGCAGCCTTCACAGTCCATATGCTTTGTCCATAAGGCGAACACTTGCCGAGGCTGGGCCTTGTCAAGGAGAGGCAGCCTGGGAGAGGAATGGCGGTGCCTGGTGAATTTCACTGAAGTGTCTAGCACAGGGGTCCTCAAACTACTGCCCGCGGGCCACATGCAAATACAAATATTGTATTTGTTCCCATTTTGTTTTTTTACTTCAAAATAAGATATGTGCAGTGTGCATAGGAATTTGTTCATAGTTTTTTTTTAAACTATAGTCCAGCCCTCCAAAGGTCTGAGGGGCAGTGAACTGGCCCCCTGTTTAAAAAGTTTGAGGACCCCTGGTCTAGCATCATGATAAGCCAGTGGTCGGCAAACTCATTAGTCAACAGAGCCAAATAACAACAGTACAACGATTGAAATTTCTTTTGAGAGCCAAATTTTTTAAACTGAAACTATATAGGTAGGTACATTGTTATTAACTTAATTAGGGTACTCCTAAGGCTTAGGAAGAGCCACACTCAAGGGGCCCAAGAGCCACATGTGGCTCTCGGGCCGCAGTTTGCCAACCACGGTGATAAGCCCTCAACCTATTCACTCACTCCATTTCTACAAAGCACCAGTGCAGCCGATATAACTGTATCCCCACTCTGCAGAGGAGAGAACTATGACTGAGAGAGACCAGGTCACGTGTCCAGTCACACTATCTTTAAACAGAAGACATGGGGTTTGGTCTGTATCTGTCTTACACCAAAACCAGCACTGCGTGCAGGTCCCTCTTAAAAATTCAATTCTGTCTCCCAATTTTAAGTGCATATACTTCAATAAGGAAATAAGACTAACATATGGAACATTTAAAGAAAAATTAAGTGCATAACTATACTTTTTAAGTTCCAAAGGAATTCAGGGGATGGAATCATCAGTAGAATCTAAGTGAGCCAGGGACTCTCAGTGGAGGAGGTGGACCATGATTATATATCTCGAGTGGGGGTAGGATTTAAAGAACAAGAACGGAGGTGTGAGATTAGTCAGGCTAGGGAAACATTCCTTTCCACCCGTCAATAACGTGCTATTTACAGTGTGTGGTGAGAGAGAGCATTATGGTCACATAAATTACCATGTACAATTTCAGTTGTACTTTCTAAATTTGTAGGAGGTACCACATATAGGACATCACGTTGAAGACAGTCAATAACTCACATTTCTACTGTTCGTGCAAAGTGTGTAAGTATACCTTTTCCCCCATCAGAGATGGAAGGGTCCTAAAAGCCTTCTCCTACATTGAATAAGAAAGAAGCCTTATAGGTGTTTTCATTGTTGTTGCTGTCCCCTCCCCCCATCCCAACTTTGCACTTAAAAGTAGTGTGAGTCGGAGGATAAGAAAAAGAACAAGGCCAAGTTGACCAGTGAAGAGAAAGGGAAAATGTCATGGAAAGAGAGAATAAAAATGGCTCGCCAGGTCCTGACTGGTGTGGCTAAATGGTTAAAGCATCAGCCCCGGACCAAAGGGTCTCGGGTTCACATCAAGGTCAAGGGCAAGTACCTGGGTTGAAGGTTGATCCCTGGTGGGGCATGTGCATGAGGCAACCAATCTGTGTCTCTTTCATATCTATGTTTCTTTCTCTCTCTCTCTCTCTTTTCTCTCTCTCTCTCCCTCTTCCTCTCTCTCTCCCTCTCCCCTCCACTCCTCTTCCTCCCTTCCACTCTCTAAATATCAATGGAAAAAACAACAACAAAGGCTTGTCAGGACAGAAAGGCTGAATAAACCAAAAGAAGGAAGTGGGCTGTAGAGAAGAAGGCTTGTTTTATATTTCTGTCTTCGATTTGAGGCAGATGGGGAGTATCTACTTTGAATAGTGCAAAGGGAGGAGAGAACACCATAAGAGTTAGAGAAACAATAAGATGACAGAGCTCCCCTGACATAGCATGTGGAGACATATTAGGACAGAATACACCACCATTGGGGGATCACGGGAAGACTTTGGTAAGCCTGAAAAGCCAGGCATGCCTTCAAGCTCATGGAGACCAAGTCTACGTCTTTACAAGAATTTGTAAACTATCGGATTCCTCTCTTTAGGAAATGAAGACAAACATCATCACAAAAATGGTTCAGGATTATAAGTTTATCCAGCAGTAAGTTTCCACACCCAAACCTCAACACTTGCTAGGAGTTAATCCAGGCAGGTGGTGTTCTAAGGGTACCTGGGATCACTTTTAATGAGTGTGGTAAGACACACAGAAACAGAAATGCCTGCCATAAACAAAGATTACTCCCACAAATCCCTGGGAACAGGAGGCACAACACACCGTGCAGGGCCACACAGGAAAGCACAGGGTCCATCAGTAGGCGGAAGGGCAGGGGAAAATGTGGGCAAGAACCTTCTATGTCATCCCCATGGGAATGGATTGGAGAGGCAGCGTTAAGGGATTTAGAATTGGCTAGTTTGAATTCCAGTGGGTTCTGGGACATAATGGCTGTCCTAGTTGTCTGGGACCTGGTCCTGGGTTAGGGCAGAGAAATATTATTGGTCCAGAGTGTAAGAGCTCAATAAAAGACGTGGTAGGGGGCAATAGACTCTGGATTGGTTGGTGTGCATGTGAAAGGCATGCTCACAGGCAAATTGTTTGTTCTCTGGAGACATTAGCCAGCCCTTCCCAGGGCAGTCCCTTCAGAGTCAACTAAACCCCAAGCATAAACAGTAGACCATTGACCCCACCATGAAGGGCATAAGTGTTCTGACCCTATTCTTGTCAGGAAGTTTACAACCCCTCACTCAGACTAACCAGAGTTGAGAGGAAAATGTTCATGTCATAATTTCAACATTGAAATGGCTCAGTTACAGGTCCTTCTCTGAGCTTCCCAGTGATTGGAAAAACAAAACCATGTAGCATCGGGTGGTAGTCTTCTTTAAGAGGCCTCAGTGACATTACCATCTCCTCTTCCCCCCAAAAGTAGTATGTCATCTCTCTGGATTAGGCCTTCTTCTTCTAACATAAGGTCATCGATCTTGTCTAACCATCCTGTCCAGAAGAACCCTTCAAAAATTATTAATACTTTATTATCTATTATAATTTTTATATCATAACAAGAAATAACTCTATTGAATAGCATAATTTTAAAGCTAGCATATTCACTCTCAAATCTTCACTATAGCTCTAGTGATATATATATATCTTATATATGTGTGTATATATACATATATACTATATATAAAAATGTTACACACACACACACACACACACACACACACACACACACACACACACGAGAAGTAACACAGGAAACATCCACAGAAGCAGCTCTATTTAAGGGAACCTCAACCCACCTGCCTGCCCTGACGCTCACCAGTGGTGTTGCCAGAGAGCCATCTCCTTTTACATTTTCAGAGCTGGCAGCTAACCTGCTCATAGGAAATGCTACAGGGGAGCAAAAATCCCAGGCCAACCGAAGATGGCATCCCACAACTAAGAGTAGCATTCTACCCAATAAGCTGTGTAACTCTAATAAGCACAGAAAAGTCCAACCCTTTAAATTATTGTGCAAATTAAAACCACCGGCCTTTGTTATGGAGTAGAGTCTTACAGAATATAAAAATATGACTCCGAGACCGATATGCTAATAAGCTCACAATGCCGGTGGATGGTTTAGTTGTAGATAGACTAATGTTGGCAGCAGTTGAATAATTGCTCTGCATGTACTAAACATAACAAAGCAGCACAGAGCTTCATCATTTGTCAGCTTTATTTGTTTAAATGAGAAAAATGCTGACAGCATTTATTGCTGTAATCTCCTTACTTATCAGATAGAAAACACTAGTGACTCTTAGCAGGTCTAATCCTGTTGGGAGACTAACCGTTAGAGAATTTTCAAATTAATTGAAGGTATATGCTCCATTGTTCAAAGAAGAGAAATATAGAAGACAGGAGGAAAGAAACAGAAAGAGAAAAAAGAATGAAAATCATTTATTTCTGGTCAATTCTTAATAAAAGGGCTCTAGTCTCAGTGCCAAGTTGTTCTGTAGAAAAGAAAGAAT